CCAGTGGATGTCCAGAGTCGGGAGATGGAGTGTCTCGTTCTAGAACAGCTTTAAAAGCCATCGTTGTGGTCTTTAGAATTTTCCCCCTCAAGCTCAGCTCACTTAAGCTTTAAGCTGTGAGGCCACTAATAATTTATATAGCATGTTACATAGATTATCTTATTTGAGCTTCTTTAAAATGCTATGGGATAGATACTGTCCATGATCCCCAATTTACAGATGAGAAAACTTAGTCTACAAAGAGTAAGTGACTTGCCTGTAGTCACATTGTGTGTGAGGGATGGGATCTGAACTTATGTTTTCCTGATTGCACACCTAGAACTCAAACTCAGAGGAAAGGAATTAAATTTAAGGAGGATCAGAAAGGTTTCTTGTACAAGCTGAGACTTGAAGAAAGCCAGAGAATCCAGGAGTTATGCCATGCTGCCTCACCATTCTTAATGATTTATATTACTCTTTTGTATTTGACCTCGGTTGTACGCCCCCTTTTTCATCCTTTGTACATTTGTTTAGAAGTAAAATAGTATGTTTACATGGTTGTGAACAGGAATGAAATAGCCATTTGCCTACCCACCCAAGGTGAGTAAAAATATACTCCAGGTTAGTAGATAAGAATACTGATTTAATTCCTTTACTAACTGCATATCTCTCTTAAAAAAAAAAAAGCTCATTAAAAATCTGGGTGGACTGGTATGCTTTTTGACACTTGATGCTTTTTTAAGGTTGGTTCTTAGTCTAAGATACAAATAAGTTTTCATGTTACTCTTATTTGAATTGATTTTATTTTCCTTATTTGCTAATCATGGAAAATATTTGGCTTTTTTAAACCAACACTTCCTTCACCACAAATTACATATTTGTGAGTTCAGTGCACTTTCCTTTCAAGGTTCTGAGTAACTACTGTAATTTGTAGCTTCCCAAGGAGCTCAAGAGAAAACCACTCTACTTGGTTATATTATAGGTAAATTTGGGGCTGGAATATAAAGGATCTTGCATTTGGATTCAGGGGAGAAATTGTTTCACTTTAAGAAATGTCCTGTGGTTCATATTCTGTTGTCACTGAACAACTTGACTATTTCAGTGGTGTTGATTTTATCTAAGGGAACACTGCAGTCTAGTGGATTGGAATAACATTGGAACAAAAACAAGCAGATTTCAGTATCCCCCATGACAAACTGTAATCTAGGTAATTCCCTTAACTTACAGGGGCTGAGTCAGCATGAGGCCAAAATAACTGTTCTATTTAGCCAATTCAACCAAACGAGTCCAGGTAGGCTGTTCATCAGGACAACAACACAGCTTGTAGAAAGTACAGAAAGTATTCTCTCTCTCTGTCTCTGTCTGTCTGTCTGTCTCTGTCTCTGTCTCTCTCTGAATCCCCCTCCTTCTCTCTAGTCTCATTAGCTCCCATGGGCTCAATGATCATCACTATGATTCCTGAATCTATATATCTATCCATAGCTTCTCCTGAGCCCCATTTCTGTATCACCAACTGTCTGTTGGACATTTAAAATTGGCTGCCCAATAAACATCTCACACTCAACATGTCCAAAACAGAACTCATTGTCTTTTCCCCAAAACCTGCTCCTTGCCCATCTTTTTGTCAAGGGCACTGCTCTCCTTTCAGTCACCCCGGGTTCACAGTCTCAGTGTGATCCTTGGTTCCTCACTCCCCCTCACCTCACATAGCCAATCAGTCCCCAAATTAATTCTACTTCCACATTTTTTTCATGTTTTTCCCCTTCTCTCCACACCCCCAGCCACCACTCCAGTTCAGGTTAATTGGTCTCTCTGCCTCAAATCTTTAGCCTTTTCAATCCACCTTTCAGTGATTCAGTTGGCAAGTATTTATTAAGTACATGCTAAGTGTTTGGAACTGTGCTAAATGTTGGGAATAAAAAGAAAGGCAAATACATATCCTGTGTTGTCAGGAAGGTCACATTCTAATAAAGGAACCCACACACAACTGCCAAAGGGGTTTTTCTAACCATTGTCCTTCCAATGCTCTCATTAATATACTCAGTTCTGCTGAATCCATTATTACCTCTAAGATAAAATATAAACCCTTCTGTTTGACATTAAAACCTTTTTAAAAAATATATTTTAATCCAAAAGTTTTAAGCATTAGTATATCTCAGTTATTTACAATGATATTTACAGTGACTCACAACTACTCTTGTGGAAGACATAAATAGAGCGCTAAAATACAATGAATTTTAAGATTCAATTACAGTCAATTCTACTGGATACAAGCCAAAGCATGTACAGGAAAGGGATGAAAGACAGATGAATATGTTAAAACTTTTATATTTTAAAATCAGGGGAATGAAATGTCACTCACAGTTTTTGTCTGACAAGTAGGCGGCTTCAATCAGAGCCAAAGGAAAGGTCCTTGTGGTAGGCTGGGGCTGAGCTCCCTTTGCTCTCACCCAACTAACATATCCATGAGAAACATTTCTAAGATCCCTTTTTAAAGGATTAGGATTTGGTCATATGGTACACTAATAGCCTTCAGTCTGATCTGGTAATGAGCAGCAGCTTTGAACAAACTGAAGAGGTAGGAAATGTGGTCACCCTTTAAAAACGTTTCTACCATCAACAACTAGCCAACCTAATCACTCCTGTGGCACTTTTGGGAATATCCAAGGTTGCGTGGAATAAGCAAAGAAAGGCATCAGCTCAAACTTTGTTGGAAAGCTTTTAATAAAATATCTGGTGTGCCCAGACTCCTCCCCCAAAGCCCTTCTACTGTGATTCTAGCTACCACATTAGTTTTAGGTCATATTCACAATTCAGTAATACATACTCAGTGTATGTCACCATGGGATTTCCTATTTAATCTTTGTAGATATGGTTATGTTCGTTTCATAGGGCATGGCACAGTGTCACTATTGTAAATACAACAAAATGTTTATAGTTTTGTATTTATTTTTATGACATATTGGTCAAACTCAAACTTACTGGGGTCCAAGGACTAAACACCAACTAAGTAATACTTTGGGATGAGAAGCTAGCACCTGCCTCATCACATTGATGGCAGGAATCTATCCTGTGAAAAGCAGGGGCCACCTCCATCAGAAGCTTCCTCCAGTGCAGGACATCCTAACTCAGCACAGGAGACACCTATTCTATTCTACCCTAATCTATATAGGTACCTTTTCAGAATAATTCTTTGAAAAGGCTGATTGAAAATGAATGAAGAAAAAGCTAAGAAGATACTATTTACGTATTTGGTAATAATAAAAGGTTTTTTAAAAAGTTATTTCTTCAGCTAGCAACCAATTTCACTAAGTACACTGCTGGACATCTTGTAATGGTGTGCATAGAGGACAGAGGAAAATGGAGTCTTAAAAAGCCATCCTAGATTACAAGTTGTTGGCGACTGTTTATTTAATGGTTATTGCAGGAGTAAGCCCAACGTGAGTCCATGTGTACCCTTTCTCTGGTCTAGTGGGAACAGTGGGGAATGGTGAGGATCGAGACTTGAAATATTCTGAAGGTTCATGACAAATTCCAAATATTCCATCTTCCTTGGAAGATCTTCTTCTGGTCCTATGATATAAGATGCCAGATCAAACTGATCTTTGGGACTGGCCATCGTGGGGATGAGCCAAGTTAGCGCCGCACTCTTCTCGCAGTACTGGTCCTGGCTAAAGCCCCTTATCTGAGCACAGCACATTTTTCCATCTTGTTCATCAGCTACAGAAACAACATCTCCAATTTGATAATATACTCCCTTGTGAAATATTGATTCTGCAGTAATGATGGTGGAAACTACTTCAGGAGCTTTGATGGGATTCTTCAGCTTAAAGATGTGCCTGCGCCCCTTGCCCTTGGTGGACACCTTCTTCTCGGCCTCCGGGGCCGACTTGTACTTGGTGTCCCGCAGGCCCGCTGAGCGCCAGTGAGTCTCCTGCTTTCTCAGCGGCGGACACATCAAGGAGCCGGCGTGAGTGGCCGCAGGCGGGGGCATGACGCCGGGCCGCGCCTCGGACCGACCCTGAAAACCTTTTACAATCTGGCTCCAATCTACTTCTCCAGGCTTAATATACGTTATTTCCCTTCACATACTCTATCGTCCAATCAGATTAGCCTTCTTTCTCTTCTTCACATGGCTTTCCATCTTCTGTCTCCATGTCTTTGTGCTGGCTCTCCCCCTTAAGCCTAGAACACACTCCTTCTTCACCTCTGACACTTAAGAATACCTAGTTTTGTTCTAAGCTCATGTGTCATGCCACCCCCTTTGTGAAGCCTTCCCAGATCCCCCAATGGCTAATGCCTCTCCTCCCAAATCAATTTTCATTCCGTATATACTTACTTTATATGTAATTATACATGTAGATGAAATCTCTCCCATTGGAGTGGAAGTTCCTTGAGGGCAGACTTTCATTTTTAAGTTTTTAGCACAGTGTCTATTAAAGAGTAGACATTTAATAAATGCTTGTTGATTAAGGCAAAAATGTTCGTTTAACACAGTGGGTATTTTAGTTTACCTAATATCAAATAACTAGTTTAACAAGTTTAACCAGTTTAATGATTTTTTCCATCTAATTAATTAGTTGTTTTAGCTTCATATAGCTGTAGCTCCAGAGGCAATAAACAAATGAATAAATGAATAAAGGTATAGATAAAGAAATAAACATAATTAAATTGACCACTTTGACCAAATTCAATCAAAATGATCAGTCATCATATATCACATTATAGTATTGGGTAGATAGTAATACTACACATTTTTATATCACATCACATTGTATTATAGCGTGTTACAGTCTATTATTGTCATTGGACAAAATAAATTATTATTTGATAAGACTTCTGATCAATATCAGTCTTTGTGTATAATGACTTTTTTATATTTCATGCCAAAAGAGTTTAAAGATGGGAAGCTTTCTTCTTTTTTCTTTCTTTCCTTTTTTTTTTTTACAGTTTACTATTTTAATGACTACATTGTAAAGAATATTATTGTAACTAAACTGACTATATTTTTGTGTGTGTAGGCCAAGATATGACACAAACAGGAATCCTGAAGAATTCCAATGATGTGGTAGTAAATAATGAGTAGCAGCCACCATAGCAACGGACCAGCCAGCATGAGTGTCAACAAAGTTTCGGCTTTCTCATTGACATTGGAACAAAAAACAGGCTTTGCATTTGTGGGGATTCTATGCATTTTCTTGGGCCTTCTGATTATCAGATGCTTCAAAATCCTGCTGGACCCCTACAGTAGCATGCCTTCCTCTACTTGGGAAAATGAAGTGGAAGAGTTTGACAAAGGAACCTTTGAATATGCACTTGCATGAAGACCTTGCCTTCATTTTCATGTTTATTCAAGTTCAATGGAAAAAAAAATTCAAAAAAAAAACCAACCCCAACAACAACCTATGGCTCATACATCTGTAACCATCACTGATGCAATGAAGGGAAGCTTGTGGCATCTATTTGGTTAAATAAATGTCTAATAGGGTCAACTCATCATTGTATTCTATGGCACATTAATTTAAGATTTTCATGTTGGAAATTCAAGTGCTCCTATGTAGGGGATGAAGAGAGAGCTCTATAATGGTAGAATCATAAAACTTCTGAATAGGAAGGGTATTTTACTTTGGACAAGGCTCTTACTCTCTCTGGGCTTCAGGTTTTTTCATTTGTAAAATAAAGTTTGCCTAGATGGATCTCTAAAGTTCCACTTGGTGCTACAATCCATCTAATTGTAGCTCAACACCCACCAAAAGCGTAAATTCCATCAACAACATCTTGAACAAGTGGTCATTCATCACCTACTTGAAGACTTCTAGTGCCAGAGAACTCATTACTCCTCCTAGCCAACCATTCTACTTTATGAACACACTCATAGTTAAATAATTTTTTCTTGTGTTGATCTGAAATATCTCTCCTTGTAATTTAAGCTCATAGGATCATAGGTGGAATTGGAAAAGATCTCAGAGGCTATCTAATCCAACCCTCTCATTTTATAGATTCAGAAACTGAGGCTTGGAGAATTTAAGTGATTTGTCAAAGGCCAAAGAACAAATCTAATCCCTGTTTTGTATGAAAACCCTCCAAACATTTGAAAATTTAACCCTAGACTCCCCAGATCTTCTCTTCTCCAAGCTAAATATCCTCAGTTAAATTCAACTAATGAGCAGCTACGTGGTACAGTAGATAGAGCGCTGGGCCTTGAGTCAGGAAGACCTGAGTTCAAATCCAGGCTCAGATGCTTACTAGCTGTGTGACTCTGGGGAAGTAAATTAACCCTGTTTGCCTTGGTTTCCTCACCTGTAAAATGAACTGGAGAAAGAAATGACAAACCACTCCAATATCTTTGCCAAGAAAACCTCAAATGGGGTCACAAAGACTTGGACATGGCTGAAATAATACAACAAAATTAACTAATCTTTAATGACATTTTACCATTAAAGGTCTATCTTAAAGGTACAGCCAGATCCTGAGCTACACAAAGAAAATTTTTAAAAAACAACAACATTGAGCCATAGTCCTGCAAAGTACGTTAGAGATCATTGAGGCAAATCTCATTTAATGATAGAAAAAAAAAACCTGAGGGTCAAAAAGAATAAGAGATTTTCCACAGCACAGCTAATAAGTGGTAGAATCAGGACTGGAACCCAGATATTCTGACACCCAGTATAATGAATCTTCTACTGAACCAAGATGCCTCCCTCACTGTAACTTGAAGTTCAGTGGATTTATGCAGTAAAACTATGAAAAATTGGGACCTCTGAGCAAAATTCAATAACTTTGTTTAATTTTTAAGGGAAACATAAACATAAAATACTGTGCTAGAATGAACATCCCTATTAAAACCTTTATTTACAAAATACACATTGACTAAATTATAAATTAATGGGTCCTTGGAAACACAACAAATTACTCTTCTAATACATGAACATCTGGCTCCATTACATTATATTATTGCTCCTTCTGAGAGGCATTAGCAATCTCCAAAGATGTGGGATCAAGTTTGAAGAAGGAAGTAATCATTGGATCATAGAATCATAAGAGCATAGATTTAGAAATTGAAAGTACTTTAGAATCTACTTTCCCCAACCCCCCTCATTTTACACATGAGAAAACCGAGGCCCAGAGAAATTAAATAAGTTGGCCAAGGTTGCCCAGGTATAAATAGATGTGTGCTAAAGATTCCTGGATCCAAATAACCCAGGCATCTCCCCAGGCATCCAGAATGTACTACTAAGTGTCCTAAAATATATCAGATGCATGTTGGGGGACGGGGACAGGGCAGGCCTTGATTTTTCAAGACCAAGAGAGAGACAATTCAATGCTAAAAATAAACTTCATCCATCTTGAAATTTCACCTCTTAACCTGCCTCTCCCAACAACATGGTGTAGTGGAAACCATGCTATACTTAAATTCATGAGACACCAGGGTTGAAATTGTGTCTCTGACATTTACTAGTTGTGTGACCATGGGAAGTTGCTTCACCTTTCTGAGCCCTATGGTCTTAATCTATAAAATGGGGATAATAATAGTATTTTCTACTTCACACCTTGTACCATCCAGTTACATTAATTACTTCATTTTAAGACTGGGACAATAAAATGGCCTCTAAAGTCCATATGGTTTCCTCCTCTGCAGCTCTAGGGAATTTATTTTAGGTGAAAAGTTGTGAGTATAATCACAATTGCTCTGAGCCCCCAGTTAGGAAAATTCCTAACATTTATGCAGAAGTTTGGGTCTTTGCTTTAATTTACATTTATATCTTTCTCTAATTATATCTAACCCCTGACCTCTTTGAGGCAAGATTTAAGCTACCTAATATACTTGGATAATAAAGAAGTAGATTATTCACAGGGTCTGGGAGGGGATATAGGGAAAAGAGCAGCCCTTTTTCTTAGAATTTCTCTTAGTTTTTCAGTAGGTGGGTACAACTGGTGATGTTAGCCGGAATCTTCTGAACTGATATGCCTGAAGGGCAAATGGCCTTCCTCAATGTCTCACCTCTGCCACAATTCAATTCTATTTTCTTTTTCTCCTTTTGTTGGTTGCTCCTGGGCTGCTGATTCTTTCTGGTTCATTTCTGTATGACTCCACTCCTCCCTCTCCATTTCCAGACTGTCAGACTCTCTCTGTAAAGACTAAATAAGTTAAGTAAAAGCCTTTGCAACCCTAAAGTACTTTATAAACACCAGCTATTATTATTCTTTCCAGAGATCAGAAAGGAATCAGTTCTTTCATTTAAAAAAAGGGACTTAAGAAAGAAAGGAACCACATGTCACCTTACTCTACTACTCAGGACTGGAAATGGGGCAGTAGATGATTCAAATTCATTTTTCTAGTCTCCGCACATAGGTCTTGCATCCACTGAAAGATCTACTGTTTCTCTTCTCTCAGGCATAATGCCTAACTCTTTTAAAAACTCCTCTTACCCTTCCCCTGCCATAGGGAACAGTCTCATAGACTCTTTTTAGTAGTTGTGTAGTAGATGTGTGTGTGTGTGTGTGTGTGTGTGTGTGTGTGTATAATATAACAATATAATATAATATCATTTAAATCATCTACATTTCCCCCATTTCCATCCCTCTACTTCTGTGATTCAAACCCAGTTCTGCTGATGCTAAGTCCAGTGTTATTTGTACCATGCTACCCAAGACCTCAGATATTCCTTCAGTTAATCAGGAACTAAGCTGAAATCTGATCATTTCACTTATTTTTCTTTTCTTTTCTTTTTTGTTTTACCACTAACTTTCTGGTCACATCAAGACTATTGCCATCAATGCCAAGATTTCAGACCAGGCTGGTACAAAATGTTTGGATGGCACAAGTATTCTCAAACTCTTTTCCTTTTTGCCTTTGTCCCTCTTTTAGGTATTTATTTGGAGCTGAGAAAGATTAGCAACTGGGGAGATGAGTAAGGCAAACATTTATTAAGTGCCTGCTCTGTGCCAGGTACTATGCTAAAAGCTGGGGATACAAATACAAATAAAAACAAAGACAGTCCCTGATCTCAAGGAATTTACAGTCTGATGGGGGAAGAAAGCACACAAAAGGAAGCTGCAAAGAGGAGGTGTTGAGAAGAGAGAAGAAGGTACCTGACACAGGAGCATGATGGAGAGTACCAAAAAGGTCCAAAAGCAGTGAAGCTGGTGGAAAATATGGGGGAATGGCCCAGGAGCCCCATTTTTAGAGACTGTAGGGCCCATGTCCCTGCCCTCCAGTCAAAGAGGGGCAGAGGTTGTTTGTGAGATATGAGTACCTTCAATCAGTTTGTTTGTTGATTAGGAGGAATATTTGAGGATGGTGTATTTTTCCAACAGGAAGCCTGAGATTTTCATTTAAAAGAACCTCAGATTTACTATGGGGACTACTGGAAGCCACATGTTTCCCCTTTTTTTCTCATTAAAGTAACTGCTTTGTAATGCCTCACTACTCTTTATTGTGTGGGTGTAGGCATTGATGAATGAGTTTTAAAGATCTGGTTGATAAATTTATTAGAAACAGTAGTAGTGGTGGTGGTTATCTCTAGCTGGGGCTGGAAAACAAGGAAAAGGGTTTGTGTTTTGGGGGAATAAGGAACTAATAGATCAAAGTAATTCAAGCACTTTCGGAAATTATTTTATTTTCTGTCCAGTAGAACGTGAGCTCCTCCAGGGCAGGGATTGTTTCATTTTTTTTCCTTAGAGAACCCCAAGACCTAATTCATTGAATGCACTTAATAAATGTTCATCATCAGGGTAGCTAGGTGGCGCAGTGGATAGAGCACCAGCACTGGAATTAGGAAGACCTGAGCTCAAATCCAACCTCAATTATTAGCTGTGTGACCCTGGGCAAGTCACTCAACCCCATTGCCTAGCACCCCCACACAGAAGCTCATTATCATTATTATTTCAGTCTCACAAGTTGCCCCAGACCCTGATGGGATTCGTAATCAATTAATAAGAATTTATTAAGTACCTACTATATGTCAGGCACTGTGCTAAGCACTGAAGATACAAAGACAAAATCAAAATAGTTCTCACCTTCAAGGAGCTTACATTTTAATAGAAGAGACAACATGTATGTGTGTATATGCACATACAAGACATACAAATCAAATTTTGATTTAGATATCTCAAGGATATTGAGGATTAGGGCAGCTCACTGGTGAGATTGAGTATTCATTGGGTCCTAGCACTTTCTCATGGAGTGACTCCAGTATTTTGAGGACAGCAATTAAAAAGTCCCATCATATAGTGGTAGACTGATTTGTAGAAAAAACAGTGTACTAAATGGGATTAGTGAGGATACAAACAGAACGATGAGCATGAGCACAGAGCATGAGCAAAATTACAGGCTAAGAGCAAAGTAGGATCTAATTCTAGGTCCTAGATGCAAGTTTAACACTAATTAACTTTGTAACCTGGGGGCAGGAATTTAACACCTCTAGACTTTAGTTGTGTCAAGCATAAAATTAGTGTGTTGGAGCACATGATCTTTAAGATCCCT